AGTGATGTGCTACACTGATGTTTATGCTTTAAAGAGATTGTTCTTCTGTGGAACGTGGCGTGCACTGGACAAGGTGAGAGCTGGGATGGCCAATTAGAGCCAGCCACAGCTATCCTAGGAAAAGCTGATGAGCGCTGTGTGAGGCAGTGGTGAGGGCCGATGTGAAATGACTAGGGCAGTCAATGAAGGTACTAGATAAGAAAGTCTCTTCATCTGAGGACTATTTGGAAAGGGAGTACAGATCATCTCAATTTTCTGGCATATTTTAAGCACTAACTGTTTATTCTTAAACTGAAGAATACAATTTGTTCCAAGATAATTTTACGGATTATATATATATATATATATATAATATATATAATTATATATATATATATATATGAGAGTTGTGAAGCTGTGCTTTTCCTGATTTCACCATTATTTTCTCTCCCAAATTATATAAAATTATTCTTCAGTAACTTTTTAGGTATAACTCTTTTCTACTGGGCTTAGCTTAAGGTCACTTGGACCATGATTCAAAGCAGCTACATCTGTAAACTGTATGAAAAACCATGATCCTGACTTAAAATGATATTTATTCTACAAAGCACCTCACAGCTTACAGGATATGTTGCCCTCCTTCCACGGGAGCGAGGAGAGGCTCTTTCTCCACATTCAAGACTGGGATGATATTCTGATTCAGAAATTGTTGTCTGGGCTGCAGGAAGAGCTAAAGGGCTGGGCTCATGTGTTTGTAGCCTCTCTTTAAATGCTAGAGACAGCACAGGCATGTCAGGATTTGTGAAAGGTGGTGGATTACTGATGGGATGAGAAAGTCCTGGGAAGAGACCAGGAAAGCAGTCACAGAAGGAAGGCGATGGTTTAGAACTTGAGAACCTTAGGAAATGCTGAAGAATGAGCCTGGCCCAGCAGCTCTGAAGGATTACAGCCAGTGATTTCAGAGAACACAGCCACTTGCTCTAAGCTAAGGGCTCTAAACTTCCGTAAAAAGTGAAAAGGGTTTAGATTTCAGCTTGTAGAGTTCAAAGCAAGAGACAAAAGGGGGGAATCGGGAGCAAACAGCCTAATGGTGTTCAGTGGCTGCATCAGCTGTGAGCTGCTGATGAGGTGAAGGCAAGCTGAGTGGTTCTGCTGAGCGCTGGCCGTGCAGGGGCCTGAGGGTGTTTACTTCAGGGTCAGGATTAGGGTTCTGGGTGTTTGCCCCAGCCCTTCAGGACATGCATTGTTCACAGGAATCTTCCACAGTCACAGGCTAAAGGCTTATGCAGCCGCTTCAAAACCCTGTGAGGCGTCCCCAACCTAGGGTGAGCACCAGGTGCTCAGGGTGGCATCTTCACAGCGTGTGCCAAGGGACAGTTTGTGCACCTGGAGAAAGGGGTTTTACAATACACTTTAAGTGGTGGTCACGTTGAAACCTTGTTACAGCCGGAGCTTGCATCCAAATTATGTTTCCTAAAACTAGTAATTAGTTAAATGTTTTTAGTTTTAATTTTTTTTTCCTTGTTTAAACATTCATAATGAAATATTCCTCCTGTGTCATTTACCGGGGGTATTCAGAGCACTCTATCTACCCTCCTCAAGAAGAATAAAATCTTGGGGAAGCCAATTCCGGAGCTACACATTGTGCTTGTACCAATTTGTGTTGTGGTTTTAGGACGGTACTTAAAAAGCCTGGGAATGAACTCACGGTGCCTTCCATTTAATTCAGCCTTGTCTGTTTCAATCATGTGATTGAGCTTGTAAATTGCTTCCCAGCAGGCTGCAGGAATTCCTGTTAAATACTTAACCCAGCTTCTTGAGATCTAAGAGTAGCCAACAATCAAGCTTCTTGTGTTTCTGTAACTGTCCATAAGTCAGCCATCAAAATCCTGTTTGAAACAGATAGAGTGTGTGTGTGTGTGTGTGTTTATGACTGTAATAGGAAGATAGGAGGGTCTAGGAATCAGAGACATCTGTTTCAAATCCTGACTCAGCACTGGGCTAGCTTTGTGATCTAGGACATCTCCAGAGAAAAACATCTCTGACCCTCAGGTTCATCGTAGAGTGTAATTAATCCTGTTTACCTCCCATGGTGATGGTTAATTTGAAAATTAAAATAAGGTAATTACTTTGAATAAAAATTATTCAAAATGATAGTGTCATTAGCCTGACAATTGAGGGAAGATTTGGGTGGGAGCAGTAGGTTTATTAAGGCTGGGGTCACCTACAAACTTGTTACTGTAATTGTATTGTATGCTACATGGGTGCTTCTGAGGTCTGTGAAATCTCAGTGGTTGCTGGTAGGGACTCAACAGCTGACCTGGCCTGTCTGTCTTTCCTTTAGCCTTTCTGAAGTGTTGTATTTGCTTTTTGTCTCTCCCATCTCATATTGCTCACTTACCCAGCTATACTCACCTCTGGTGTTTGTCTCACAGCTTCTCTTTCTCCCTTCCCAGACTGCACCAGGGGCAGGCACAGAATGGCTTCAACACTAGCCTGTCCAGGAAACCAGCTTTTCATGTAACCCTTCCAACTGTACGTATTTTTCTGTCTTTTGTAGCCCACAAAAGTACTGGACTAAAAAGATGTGAATGATGAAATTTGTTTACAAGTTCTTCATCCCTCCCTATAGTTTTAAAGCTTGTGCACAGTAAAACCACTACTTCTTTCTTTTTAAAGATTTATTTATTTATTACTTACACCTGCATGCCAGCAGAGGGCACACATTCCGTTATTGATGGTTGTAAGCCACCATGGGGTTCACTGGGAATTGAACTCAGGACCTCTGGAAGGGCAGCTCTTAACCTCTGAGCCATCTCTCCAGCCCCTCATTTCTAAGGTTTGGTTACTGCAACTGCTGCTTAGTCTCCACCATCTGTCTCACCTTCTCTCTCTATTGTGAATTTCCACTTCTTCCTGTTCCTCTTCAACAAGCTCTCTGGTTGAGATGATAATGCAGTACTAAGAGCTTGGTTTGTCTATGTACCAATCCCCAATCTTCCCAATTCCTTGTACTTATGAGTCGAGGTAGGCATTAGCCAGAAGAGTGACAATTTATCATCTGTGAGTCCGAGATGCTCTTATTTGCAGGAAAGGTCAACATTCCCACAAACCCTCCTACAAAGTTACAAGACTGATTGTCTTAAAACAGGTATCAGTTCTGAGTGAGGACAGATAATAAACAATGGTAGTGTTCCACGGTCTTGGCTTGAATTATCCGGTCAGCATCATGGGGGATCGGCTAAAAGTGACTTATCACCGTTGTCTTTTTCATAGTTCATGTGGGGTCGTGTTGGTGACCCAGAGGGCAGGCAGATACTGCAGTGGAAGGCTTACGAGGCCCTAGGGTGACATGAAGAAGGTTGACCCCACCCCTGCCTTCACAGCTGAGTGCTTGGAGAGCTTCTACACATTAGATGTGAAATCTGACACGGTGAGGATTGACTGGCCCACAGGGAGAACAGAAAAGAAATCATTCGGAACAACCCTAGTCAGTCAGTGGTGATCTTAGATGCTAAATGGCAAAGGAACACAGTAAGTAGCCAGCATGTAGAGAAAACGGGTGACTAGCTCTGGCTTTGTAATACAAATGGCCACGCAATGTGAGGGTTATTTCCAAGTGTATGTTATCAGGCCTAAATTCATAGTGTTTACTTAATTTTCCAATTAAACTACTAATGACGTGCTCTATAAATATATTAAATTATGCCAGATTAGTCCAAATTCTGCACTGCATGGAAAATGCCGCAATTACAGAACAGTAGGAAAACAATTGTGCACCGTTCTTCAGCACGGCCACAATCCAGGCGCTGCCATTTTTAAACTTTCGGCATTACTAGTTTACGATTTCAAATATTGATTTTAACTCTTCGAATTCTATGTTCACTGCATCTCTTTTTTTTACGCCCTTATTAAAAAGCAAACTATTTGGTATTCAAAAAGCCCACAGAGCCATACCCTGCTGCTGTCTGGCTCAGGATCCAGGACTAAATGTGAATGGATGGCAATTTAATTCTGATTTCCTTTCCCTTTACAGTCTTTACTTGGTAGACATAATATCTAAAAAGTATAGGGAAAAAAGGAGGGACCTCTGTGTAGATGAAAGGCATGCCTCAGGACACCCAGCCTGGTAGTTAAGGCCTCGGCAGCTTCAGATCTTGCTTGGTTACTAAGATACCATCCCTGGAGAGTATTCTGCTTGGTATTTAATGTATATAAACATTAAATATATATATTTATATTTATATTTATATTTATATTTATATTTATATTTATATTTATAATCAACAGTCTTTCTAGACACTTCCTAAAATCACAAAAGTATCACGTTTAAGGTTTATTATTTTTTGTCTATCTTCTCACCCCATTAAACATGTTTCCTTCAATACCCACATTAAAAGTCTCTAATGACTCAAGAACTATCCACATGAATAATAAACATCTACTTTTAAAATCAATTTTCTTATGAGAAAATGATTTTTTCAGAATTAATAAAAATGTGGCCCCAGGTAGCACTATTCACTTGTCCCAGAGCTAAGAACTCAACTCTGTAGGCTGGGCAAATTTGGCTAGGAATATCTCATGCCAGAATAGCAATTATCTGGTGAGGGTGGTCAGTGGTTGCTACGGTCAGCTTGTTGTCGCTATCTTCAGTGCCAGAGATATTTATGATTCTGAGTACACCATGCACGGCTATTAAAGGCAAAAGAAACAGCAGGGGCATGGTTCCAGCTGCTTAGTAAACAAGTAGAGCAAGATGTTTATTAAAGCTGGCTCTCAAGTGACAGATAAATGCATAGTTCTGTTCTGCATTCTAAATTCGGCATGTTGCACACTCAAAAGCAGATCAAAACAAGAGAGATTTTAAAAAATCATAAAGACAAATCGCAACAGTGTCAGTATGTGACAGGAAAATAAATAATTTACCTTAAAAAATGATCTCCCTTCAGCTCCTCGAGTAACATGTAACCGTAATTCACGAAATAAAATTAAGAGCAATTTAGGAATGTACCATTTATTACCTTGCTTAGAATCAAGCTTTTAAAAATCCATTTAAATAGGTTTTTGTTAAGCCAGGGCATGACTGAATCCTTTAAACAAACAGACAGACAAGCACAGCAACGGCAACATCTCATGGTTACTGGCATATAATTCTTGTTTATTAATGTGCGATGTTTACATCTTTAAAAAATGAAACCCAAACAAAAATGCACATACACAAAAGACATTAAACAGACCCTGTACAGCGTCTTCCACCACATGAGGTTTCAGTGAAAGGTTTCAGAATCCCCTTGTTCAACATTGTTGTAAGTTTCTCCATTTTCACTGTCCAGAACCATATTTACAACAAAATGTACAATATTGCAGGCTGTGCAACCTTTTCTTGATTACACCTTTAATTCCTTGGTTGTCTAGAATATCGTGGAAATGCCAATAAATTTGAGAGCTCACCCAACTGTTCCTCTTAACCTTTGTTCCCAAAGGAAAAGGGCAAGACTATTAATCAGGCAGCAATTTATCTTTAATTAGGAAAACATAATTAGGTATTATTGCCTAATCGCAATTAGTGGTTGGAGAAAGTCACATTTCGGGAGCAATGACCCATGTTGGATTTCAGTTCTCCTCTCACCAGATTGTACATTTGTATTTATATTCGTCAGCCAGCCAATAAAACGTAAAAGGCAATCGCTATGCTATCCAGTGTCAAAGTCACCAACTTTCTGCTAAACAGTAAACCAAGAGAACTTTCCACAACCACAAATCAGTTATGTCCATTTCCTGCTCAGACATCAAGTGTAAATCAAAATAGTTGTATAAAAAAAATCCCACGTGAAATGGACTGGAGAACCATTCTACACTTCATGTCTGGTACAGTTAAAAACAGTTTAATGTCTCAAGGCACCACTATGGTCGAACATCAGATACATGGGTAATCTGCTAATCTACCTCGCTGTAAAGTCAGTAAATAGCTTGTGCGGTTGTGAAAAGCAATCTCTAGAGGACCATTAAACGTACAATAGGCACATGTCTCATAATACAAATAGAAAACAATGAGTCTAGAAAAAGCATGTTGAGCACCGTTGTGGCATTGTTTGTATTTCTTTACCTAACGCTATGTAAACCTGACATTTACAAAATGAAAGACTATGATTTTAAGTTACGCTCAGGCTCGCTCTTTGTGCTACCTCCGCCTAAGAGACTCTAGTTCGTCCGCATACTTGGAGAGGCTGCTGGGTCTCGATCAGCTTCCATCACACTGGTAGATTCCTTCAAGTGCAAGCTCAAGTTTTCCGATGTCAGATGGGAGGAGTTGTAGACTATCTCGTTAAAGTCGGACCTGATACACACCAAGGGGCGGTCGTTCAGGGGCTCTTCCACAGAGACCTGGGTGTTTTCTCGGGTCATTCCCATGTCTTTGCTGTGTTCTGAGGGGGATTTCCTTTTCATGCGAGTATAGGTTTTATCTTGATTCTCCATGCCTTGCTCATTTTTCAAAAACCGTCCAAAGAACCAAATGAAGAATCCAAACCACACGAAAGCTATCAAACTGGGAACAAAAGCCAGACACTTGACATCTAAGCTAGCCCCTGTGAACCTGCTGTGTAAGAACATATCTCCCTCGACGTAGGTTTTGTTGGTCTGTGGATTAGTGTGGTTGGACCTCCATTCCCAGGAGAGCTTGGTTCTGTTTAAATCCTTGAGACTCTCAGAGTCCTTCACTGTATATATCTTCTGCCCTGGACCGATATACTGTCCATACTCATGAGGTTTGTAAAATATTTGGTTCTTCCACATATTCAGGTCCAAAATCAAGACGAGAAAAATAATTCCGTAGTTAAACCATTTACCTGCATTTAAAAGAAAATACTGAGTTAATCAAAGGTTGATAAAATTGCAATAGGATTTTTGCCATTAAAATAAAGATAATGGTACAATAGTGTGAATTGTTGAAGAACTAGAGCTGCTGACAATTTTTTGAAAGTGTAGTGCTGTCAAAAGTGAAATGACAATGTGGAATGACTAGGACTTTTACAGTAGGTCTTACACTAACATAGGATTTACTGTAATATGATTAAATCTCTTTGTTTTATATGCACCATGGCTAGATTCAAAGTTAGTCTTGGGTTCTTCTATAGAGTAGTTTAATTAGTGGTTTAAAAACTATTCTAATTACATTTTTAAGAAAGTCCAATATGAGATTGACTATTTCTTACAGTTTTATAATTAGGTCTGGAGAGGAAATAAATCATCTCACAATTTGAGGCACAGTAGAATGTCAATTGAATCCGCATTGCTGTTTGTAAGAGACCTGTTGATTAAGCCATTAGTTGATATGCTTCAGATCAATAATCCCTAAACATTCATTTCAAGACTTAAAAAATTTATACCAAATGCTCATTGAACACAATGCATGTATAAAATAGACAAATAAAGCTAATAAACTACTGGAAGATATTACCTAGAGAGAATTTAGCCACTATGATTTCCTCTTAGTACTTAATATATTCTATATGAACTAGAGAGACAGCTCAGTGATTAAGAGCACACAAAACTCTCACAGGGGATCTGAGTTTGGTACCCAAAGCCCATGTCACACAGCTCACAACATCCTGTAACCCACTTCCAAGTGCAATGTGATGTCTCTGGCCTTCACAGGCATCTTCCCTCACAAACATGCACATACACATCATTAAATATATTTAAGTAAATCAGACATATATTCATATGATGTTGTATAGTGACATGTTATTAAAAGGTGTTTTCATAGGCAAAGTATGCAGAAATTTTCTAAGGGCTAATAAGTTCTATTATAGCTGTTATTATTTCTTACAAGTTCTATAATCTCAGGCATAGTATAATAACGTCACTACCACCCTTGAGCGTGTTGTGGCAGATGGTGCGATACATATAACAGACTCCAGAAGCTTTAGTCATAGTTTTAAGGTGATGGCACTGGACCCCACACAGTTCCCCCTTCACAGGGCTGTGCCTATTGTACATTGTGCAGCTTTGGGGAAAGAGATCTGTGAGGAGGTTGAAAACACTGTGTGCACATCGTTGGATCCTACGACATGTAACATTGAGGGGGTGCATCCTGCTCCAAAATCCTCCTGCTAGCTTTTGGACTTAGGTTACTTGCTTAAATTCTTTAAAGCCCCCGTTTCCTTCCATGAAGAAAAAAAAAATATTATCTCTTGAAGTCACGAGCTTATTAGAGGCTAAGGGCTATGCCTTGTAGATGACGATTCTGTCATCTTAAACACTGTTGATGGTATCATCAAAATTCCGCCTGACCAATGACAATTTCTTTGTCTAAAGGAGAAGTTGCAACTTGCTGTGTATTGAAGAGTTCAGCTAACGGAACTGACAGTGCTAACATCTTTGTACTGTGTTGTTTTGTAGCTTGCGTTTACTTATGGTTGTTTATCAGTATGAACATGTTTTAGTCTTGAAGCTCTAGAGGCTGACTTGAACTTGGTTACCATGTATAACAACAGTGTTCCCAACATTCCAAGTTATTGTCTGTTTTAGTGTGCAAAAACAAAAATCAAACTCAAAGGTGCACGGTATCATTAAACATCTATTGAGATCATACGAGACATTGTGTAGAATACTGTTCCAGATGAGAAAGATACAAGCTTCTACCTTTCAAGGGAATTCGTCATCTTGTTGGGGAAAAACAGGACAGAGATGTAACAGACCCTAATAACAGATTGCATTTGAGAGATGCTAATGAGGGATACACACTATAAATGCAACAGACACTGAAAACATGGAAGGAAAACCAAGGAGAAATTTCTGCAGAAAGGACTTTGGAGGAAGCAGCAATTGACATGGTAGCAATTCACATGGCCCTTGAGGAAGCAGCAAGGCTGAGAAGCCTGGAATGTTTTCGTTTTCATTTTGTCTTGTTTTACTTAGTACTTGTGTGGTTCCACTGAGAGAATGGCATGCTGAAAAGAATGAGTTGTTGGAGAAAAGATGAGCCAAGAGAAGGGAAAAGGAAAAGCGTGGGACATGTGATAGGGGAAGAAAGGCAGGGGAGAAACGAGGGACAGGTAGAAAGGGAGAGTTCAGTATCACCTAGCGTGAAGGAGTACTCGCCTGTTGCAGCCGTGACAGCAGCCACAGTGCTGAGGTTCTCTAGAACGCCACTGTGGCTGTTGTACGAATTCTTTGGTAATAACAAACATGTGTTACAAAGCTGGACTGAATGGCAGAGCCAAGGGGTCTCTCAGCTTTACCTCCATGGACCTTGCTGGAATGTCTACCACTTGGTTCTGTTTAAAATAAAACCATGAGAAGGGAAACCCAACAGAAAGAGTTCCTTGTTTCTAGGGTAACTAGTTTATCACAAGCTGGAGTTATCACCACCCCTGAAGTGGGGAAACGAAACAGGGCTACTCGTGTAGTCAGTGAAGAATGTTTTCCTGTTGGCTAGGTGGATGCTTTGTACATGTTAATAAGCAGAGAAAAAGCCAATGAACTCAGAGTAAATAGGAAGTAAGTGGACAGTGACCAAACTAAACAAGGATACTGGAACAGGGGAGCCTTTTCTTGTATGTTTCTGGAATTTTTCTGCTACCTCAACAGTGTTGGGGCAGTCTTTACTCTATTATAGCAGTAAGTTTTTAATGCTCTTTCTCATGTGCCATGGAGTAGAAGGAAAAAGATGAAAACATGCTGTGTAACTTCAGTTTCACTATCTTCAACCATGTGTGGGAGGAAATGCCATGGGGACAGAGCACATGCCAGCCTCACCCTGACATCAAACTTAGAACATGCCCTCTGGGGTACCCAGCTCAGCCTTTCTTGTCCACCATTATTTAAGTTACAGTGTGAGAAAGGTTAACTAGTTTTCTGATTCTGCCTCTTCTTCCCACGAAATCCTACTTACTAGCTGTCGCTGGAATCCTGGCTTTGTATTCTATGAACTGAAGAGTAATCCAAATGTAACTCTCTCAGAGCATTTGCATGTGTGTTTTGGGGTTGGGGGAGTCAAATGGGAGGTTATATTTGAAAGGTGTCAGAAATATATTATATTTGCCAAAAATGTAGCACAATATCACTTCACCAATTTCTTTTCCCTACTTTGCTAACCCAGAGGACACAAAGGCATGGAAGTGCTGTAACAAAGGTATTTCTATACAAAAGGGTATCATTTTTTTTGTCATTTTGATAAACTATGAGTTCCTGAGGATTGGTGTCTATGGACTACAGAGTACTGGTTTGTCTACTCAGAGTGATAATAGCTCTGAGAAGAGTTTCGTTGTGTAAGTAAACTTGGAGGCCACCAAGAGCTCTGTTGCTTCTGCCTCTCCATCAACCTTGGGAGCCCACACGGGAATGGGAGATGCATAGGGTCGACCCTGGATAATGGCAGCTTCCCTAAGACATCACAGTAACTTTAATGTCCTGTGTACATGACAATGTCGCTCCACCACTGCCATGGCCACTCAACTAAATCGTGATGATGTTGAAAGAGTAGAAAATGGTCCTTTGCACACAGGACGGAGCTCCATCCTTAGCAATCCATCCTTTGATTTGTGACAGTGTTTTGCTAACTTGGTAATGCTTCTTCCCCTTAAAGAATTCCGTGGCCCTGTGAGATGTGAAATCCCATAACCCAAAAATCAGGTAGTGCAGACTCAGCCTTGTGTGTTGGCGTCCTTGTATGAAGTAGGGAGCTGAGCTTCACAATCCTTAAGGTTTCTTCTCAGCCTTAAAAGTCTCCCTGGTTGAGCACTGTGAACCGAACATCTCCAGAGCCTTGATGTTATAGGACAAGCCAGAAAATCTCCAAGTATTGAAAAATAAAAACAAAACAGGCAAAACACAGTAAGAAAGCTATACTTAAAAATGTGTACAGTTTGGGAAACACTGTTTGTCATGAAAAAGTAAAGCTTAGTTTCTGAAATGGCCTGCATGAAAGTATGTAAGAGAAAAAAAAAAAGGCCCAAACAGAAAATGCTTCTACATCCTTTCCCCCAAGTGTGCTGTTGCGAATACATGATAAACAGTAGCTGGAGGGTTGGAATTTCCACATTAATCATGTGAGTGTGTTTGCATTCCCCCTGTTGCTTCAACTACATAGCATAATGCAAATCAGCAAGGAGGTAGGACAGAATCCATACATTATTCCTATTAATCTCTTTGTTGAAATAGCTCTCTGTCTGCCTTAATGAGAAATCACTGCATGATGTTGGCGGAGTTACCTCTTTCTTGTAGTCTGTCATTTTAATAAATCCTATTGGTTGTCAGAAATAATATTGCAATGGAAATGTTATCTTTTTACATTGTGGGAGTTTATGGAATCCTTGGATATGTAATTTTAAAGGAGTCTTCATTAAATATCACCCTCATTTAAGACACAAATTGACAATAATTGGGGAAATGTTTTTTTTTAAGCTGAGGAAAGTAAGCCATAGCATGCTCATATTTGTAACATGTAATGAACATTTCATGTTCCCGAAAGCATCTAAGATAATTTTAATCATGTACTCACTGGAGTTGCCAGTTGAAATTATAATACAGCTATCTTGTATATGCCTCTCTACCAGTTGGGCAGTACCAATTGGCGAGATATACAGAGCAAGTGTTTGTAACATTCATACTGCCCTTTATGGATGTCCTTAAGAGCCATTGTGGGGCACTGGGAAGCCTTGACAAAGATGATGAATACTGGAAATAATAATAATAATAATAATAGTAATAATTGCAACCTGCTGTATCAGTAGTCTTGTTCATCATCAAAGTTCTTTTCTTCCAGACACAGCAATAAAACTGGACTTCTCAGGTCCAGTCTCTCCCCAGGTGACTGAGGGATGTCTACGAAGCACGTTTGTGC